CGGGGAGGAAAGCGCCGCTGCCTCGCCAGCCCCGGGCCTGTGACACAGGCGGTTTCGCTGGCAGCGAGTATATTTAGCACTTCCCCGAGCCCTTCGCATGCTCCAGCCCCGGTGCGGAGCGCTCGCTTAATTAATTGACGCAGCTCTCGCCCCGCGGTGCCACATGACGGGGACGGTGGGCGGCCGAGGGCACGGCCCTACAGGTGGGTGCGTGGGGCTCCGTGGGGGGGGATTGAGGGGGTGAAAGTGCGTTTGTGGGGTGCGTGGCCGTGCTGGGAGGTGACGTTGTGTTGTGGAGCGAGGGGTTGAGGTGCTGGAATGGGGGCACGGCGATGCTGAGGAGTTTTGGAATATCTGAGGGGAATGGCTGATGGTGGGAGATGATGCTGTGATGTCGGGGAGCAAAGTTTTGGGGTGCCCGAGGGGATCGTCGAGCTGAAAGGGAATGGAGGAAGCCCTGTGGTGTTTGAGGAGCGAGGGCTTGCGGTGCCTGAGGGGAATGGCTGTGCTGGGAGATGACGTTGTGGTGTCAGGGAGTGAGATTTTTGGGGTGTCTGAGGGAATGGTGGTGCTGGAAGAGTGCAGTGCGGTGGTGAGGAGTTCTGGGGTGCCCGAGGGGAATGGCCGTGCCAGGAGGTGATATTGTGGTGTTGAGAAGTGAGATTTTGGGGTGGCCAGGGGGACCACTGTGCTGAAAGGGGATGGAGGGAAGCCTGCACTGTTTGAGGAGCGAGGGTTTGGGGGTACTGGAGAGAAGGATGGTGTGGGGTTGAGGAGTGGAGTTTTTGGGGATCGTGCTGAAGGGGGATGGAGGGAGCCCTGTGGCAGTGCAGAGCTGGCTTTTGGGGTGCTTGGAGGGGAATGGCTGCACCTGGAAGGTGATGTTGTGAGGTTTTGGGGTGCCAGAAGGCATCACTGCAACGTAAGGGGATGGGGAAAGCCCTGTAGTGCTGAAAGGGGGGTAATTTTTGGGGTGCCTGAGGAGGGCAGCAGCGATTGAGGGGGATGCTGCTATGGAGGAGCCATGTTTGGGGTGCCTGAGCGGATAGCCTTGCTGAGAGGGGACACTGTGGCATTGCAGATTGTGGCATTGGGGTGCCCGAGGGAATCGTCACGCTGAAAGGCGACGGAGAAATCCCTGCTGTGCTGAGGAGATGGGTTTGGGGTGCCGGAGGGAACAGCAGTGACTGGAAGGAGCCACGTTTAGGGGTGCCACAGAGAATGGTTACACTGAGATGGGAACACCCTGAGGCGTCGAGGAAACGGGTTTGGGGTGCCCGAGGAAATGGCCGCGTTGGGAGGGGACGCGGAGGTGATGAGGAGCGGCGTGTCGGGGTGCCTGAGGGAACAGTTATGCTCTGAGGCGACGAGTGAGTTTTGGGGTGTTTGAAGAGATCCTGAGGTGACGAAGAGCGATGTTTTGGGGTACCTGAAGGAATGGTTATATAGGGAGGGGATCGGGGGGTGCCCGAGGCAGCAGCTGTGCTGGGAGGGGACGGAGGGAGGGGACGAGGGCTGTGGGCAGAGCCGCAGCGGTTTTTTCCTGCGTGGCGCAACTGGCTTGTGGAGGGAGGGCAGGTGGCTGTGAGGCAATCGCCTCTCCGGGATGAGAGCCTGGGGGCCCAGGGCCGCCTGGGAGTACGAGGGGGTCGGTTGGAGGGCATGACGGGGTGGGTCGAGCAGCGGGGAAGGGGCTGCGAGGCGGCGCGGTACCGGCGGGCCGCGCTCGGGGGGTCATCGTCGGGGCGGGCGAGCGGCGTCGCTGAGGGCGGGAAGCGCGCGCGACCCCTCGACGCGCGGCAGCAGCCCCCGCCTGGCGCCTCCTCAGCACTGCACCACGGCGGCGGGCCGGCTGGCCACGCCCACCGCTCCCCGCAGGCCAATCACCGCGCCGCGTCCCCCCCCCCCCCCCCCCGCCGCTCGGTCTCTTCTCCCTTCCCGCTCTTCACCCCCCTCCCTTCTCCTCCCTCTCCGCCCCCCCGCCCCCTCACCTCGCTCAGCCCGCCCGCCCTTGGCAGGGCTCGAGCGCGGCCCGCCCCCGCCCACCCGCCTGTTTGTTATGGTCGGGGCCACGTGCCGCCGGCTCAGGCAGTCACGCGGCCCGGCCTCGCGCCGCCCCCAGCCGCTCCGGGGGCGACGGCGGCCGCGGGGAGTTCGTGGCGGCGGCGGGGGAGGGCGGGCTCGGGGCCTGTGACAGGAGCGGGGCCTGAGGCGGGAAGCGGGGCCGGTGGGGCGGCCGGGTCGAAGAGAGGCGGCCGGGAGCTGAGGGGAGCGGGCGTTGGGGCCGCGCCTCCTGAGGGCCCTTTTCCCGGTGAGTGGCTCTGTCTGCCGGCCCCGTGACAGAGCCCGGCGCGAGGTTCCCGACAGGAGGGCTTTTAGAACCGGCCGTGCCCTGTGGACTCGACGTGTTTATGCTTTGTGTGGGTTTCTCTCTCCCGGTGCCATCCTGTGTGTCTGCCCGGGCCGTGTTGTTATGGCACGCTGGTTGGTGAGCAGGGGAACGGAGGTTGCTGCCGTCCTCTAGAGCATAAACGCTATTTATAGGTTGGACAGACTTTACTGCAGAGTGCCTTTGGTTCTGGGGCCGAGCGAGGTGTGTTAGTGATGTTCTGGTGTTCCGGAGTTAGGATTTTATGGAAAGCTCTGGAAGAACGCTGGTAAGCTGCGTAGGGAAAGGCGAGTTGGCATTGAGGAACGTAATGCTGTCTTAATGCAACTTCTCAAATAGCAGAAGAAACAGCAAGTAAGAGGATACGCAGTTCTAGATCGGAGGCTTTCAGCTCGCAGGCAGAGGACCCCAGGAGTCTGCTGGCAGCTTGCACGGGGTCTGTAAGAAGCATCTGTGCCTGTAGGCAAATGCTTGGAGATCAGGCTTCTGCATCTCAAAATCCTGGAAAAAAATGGAAGACCACTATTTCTAGATGACGGAGATATTTTAGTTTAGAGTAAGCGGAGGAGGAGTGGGAAAGCGAACTGTAGCTGGGTGTTCTGCTGTCTGTTTTGCTACTATAGAGCTTAAAAAAATGTTGAATTTAATGTATTTTGAAGAGTTACATAAGCACAGCGTGGCGATTCTTAAATAGCCTTAAAAAGTTAAATAACAGCAGACGAACGAGGAAGAATAGGTTGGGGAGAGATGATTTTATAACCAATGTTGACGAGCGTGCCTGGGCATTTAAAACTGCAGCAGAGTTGTGCTTGAATCTTGTGTTAGTAGTATTGGTGTTGGGGCTTTAATGCTCTGGAACAGAATGTGAGAAGGAGGATAGAAGGATAAAGTTTTTCACAGTATATGCAGGTCTAGCTCATTAAATGTGTTGGGGATTTATGATGCTTCAGTATGATGCTTTCATTCTGTCATAACATTACCAGCACTATCTTCTGCATATGAAATAGTGAGATTTTCCAGGTATTAACTTGCCTCAGAGAGGAGGGGATCTCACCTTAAAATATCAAGAAAGGGTGGTTGTGCGGAATGGTGAAAGGATGGTAATCAGCCATATTTGGTGCTTGCTGTGGAGTGCTGGTGTTCTGTATTGGTTATGGGAGTCAAATGAAACGGTGCTGGGCACAGAAATACTTCTATTTGCCCAAGCAGTATCAGCTTTATTTGTGCTGGCACATCTGCATGTCTTTATATCTTCCTACTTCAGGGGGGGGGAAAAATCTACCTTAAATAGAAAGTGGATAGGGAGCAGTTGATTTGTTACGGATCTGAGGGTGCACAGGAGCAGAGCACGTCAGTGTCTGATTTTTGTGTACGTGGAATTGCTGGTGGAATTGATGCCCCAGGAAATTGCTTTCTCTATTTTTGTTGGTGACACGCAGTTAACATAAAATGAGCGCTTTGGATCCCGTATCCCATTTCTCTTTAATATAACTAAGATCGTTTATCTTCTCAGACGGCTGGGAGAAAAAATATTTCATTTTGTAACTTAGTTCACCTTCTCTTCAATTGCTGTCAGTTCATGACAGGGAACAATGTGTGCTGTACACGGTGTTCTACTGAGCTGTTTTGGTGACGAGTATAATGTATATGAAAAAAAAGCCTATGAAAAATAGGTGTTGTGCCAGTTCTTCTCACTTCTGTGTAAACAGTACCAATTTATCTTTCATGTACTCAGTATTTCACGGTGGGATCTCGTGCCAGATTTCAGTAGCAAAAAGATGTGTTTTGTTGTTTGCGTGTGCTTAGAAAAGGCTTCGAGAAGTATTTATCTAAATGAGTGTTCGCGTTGATGTTGCTACAGGAAGTAGTGAAAGTCTTTTTTTTTCCTGCTTTAATAAAAAGGGAAATTGGGAACTTATTTTAAAAGCAAGTGTTTGTTTATGTTACTTGTTGCCTATTACATGGTTAAAATTGAGAGGAGCTCCTTAATCTGGGCTGTTTTTTTTTTTTTCCATTGCTGTAACCACGCGTTTACTCCCCCTCCCCCCCCTTATTAACAACAAAAGCATGGAATTATGTTTTTGCTGCCCTGTCTATAGTATCACTGGCTGTAGCTATCATGCAGTATTTACATGGTGCTATTTCATAAATATCCTGCTTCTCGAGTTATATGGCGGCACCAGAATAAAAGCTCAAAAAGACTGCAACGTAAAGGATAAAAGTAGTTGCAAACATGAATGCTGAAATAGAAATTAAAAAATAAAATGACGAAACCTTTCCCTGATAGTTCTTCCAAGTCAGTTTCGTGATAATTCTGTGTCCCGACTCAGGACTTTCTGGAGAAAGAATTAACAGAGTTGCGACTGTTTGCAGTGAATTTATGCATAGGTAGTATTTTTTTTATTGGCTTTGGACTTTGCTAAATACAGCGTAAGGTTTACCATCCTTCGTGAGCCCTTCAGGGTGCTGCACCTCAGCCGGCAGGCGCTGCGTGGTTACCTAACAGCCGGGCTGCAAACTGGAGTTGTTTGTGTTCTGAGTTTCGCCCTTATCAAGGTCAGAGATTTCATCCTTCCTTAGTTTCCTGATCTGGCAACTTAACACTTGCAGATGGCCCTCGTTTGTGGGTATTTGTGAACGTGTTAAATGTCCCCAGGAATTTGCTTCTCCACAGAGGTAACAGGAGATCCCTGAAAATCCCCGAAAGACTGACGGCAACACAGAAAAAATATGAATTGTGGCAGTAAAACATTGGAGCTGAAAGTTTCCTCAGTTCCTGACAGAAAGTGATGTATTTAGCAGGACAAGAAAAAA